GCTGTCTAGGTTTGTCATAGCTTTCCTGCCAAAAGCAATTGTGTATGTCCTCATCTACTCTCCCCAAATGATTTTAACAGAAATTCCGTGTACTTTATAGAAGTTCTATCCATAAATATTTCAGTATGTGACTGTAAGGACAGAAGTCATTTTAACCAAGTAATTTATTGGATTTATCTTAAACCATTTTTATTTTCCTAGATTAAATTATATTTGGGTATTTTGAGGCTTTTGTGTCTGTACTCATAGGAAACATTAGTGTGTTACCAAAAGATTCCTTCTCATCTGTCTTGGGAAATGACAGAATAGGTGGTATCCTGGGTCCCTATTTCATCAGGCTTTTCTCTGAAATTTTGGTTGGATGAACGGACTCACCTGCTGAAGTTTGAAATACAGTAATATTTTAAAAGTCTGTGTTTTGTGTTCAATAGTTTTTTTCTTGTTTATTAGCATGTATTTGATTTTCTGACTCTTAAGCTCTTGAATAGTTTAAGGAACAAAATTCCATTTTTCCCTTGAAGAGGTAGAGGAATTTATTTACTAAGCTGTCTTTTCTGGGCAGATAATTTTGGAAGAGCAGGACAAAGATAATACTCCTTGAATCAGATTGAGTAACACATTTTTCTAGGAAATAACTTTGTCTTTATATAACAGTATGTGCTGTTCTCTTAAAGAAATTTGCTTAGTATTTGTAGTCTTTATGTTTCTCTTCTCATTCTTAGGACTGTATTTGTTTTCTTCCCCCCTTTTCCAGACTGAATTTATAGACTTTTTGCATTTTGCTTTCTAAGTCATGTTTTCTTGTATCCTTTAATTTGTCACTCTTTTCGAGGGTGTGTTTGTTGTCGACTTTTTTTGCTTCTTGAACTGACTTCTTTATTTTAAATCTTGTACAAAAGGAAGGTATTTAGGAGATGATCCCCCAAGCGTAGACTTATTTCATAGGTTTTAAAAATGTAGTATTCTCTTTATTGTTTATTTTAATAGTTGATTTTTCAGTTTTGATTTTTTTAGGTAAGTAGTTATTTTTTTATCAGTGTGTTGTAAAGAAGAGATCCACATCAAATATCTCAAGTAAAACGGGATTTAATCATAGGGATTATATGATCTCACAGGAACTGAGACCTCCTATGACTTCTGGAATTGCATCTATCTTTCTGATTTGCCGTAGTAGTTTTTCTTACAGCATCAGCTCAATCATGCCTTTGATGGATTGATGATGTATCTGATTTTTTTAATGCATCCTTACTTACAAATGCAGGTGTAGATTGTTTTAATACTGTAGCTGGAAAAGGTGATATTAATGATGTGATTTGTTAGTTTGCCTCAGCAGCTCTTCTCCTTTCCCTATGTCATAGCAGATGGAGAATCTACAGAGCTGTATTGATCTTTACCATGACATCTAACCCACTAGAGCTTCCCCAAATTCTGTGCTTTTTTGGGCTCACAGAGCACTGTCAACTTGCCTTCACTCCTATATGTAATGTTTCAGTTGTATTAAGTTCCAGCTTTACAATTTTTTAATAATTTTGACAATGAAAAAGCTTGTTTTACATTTCTAGTCTTAATTAAATGTCAGTTAACCTAGATTAGCTTTATTGAATCAAATTAGCTCTTCTTAGCAATCACATTATCTTTTTAAAAGATCAGTCATGCCGGCATAGTTCATAAATTTTCTTTAAAGTCAGTCCACAAACACTGAGAAATTTCTCTGTTGTGCACACCGCAGTTGTAACTGAAGTATTAGAGGGCAGACTGCGAAGCAGGCAGGATGGACTGGGTAAAATCCCCTTGAAAAGGAGTATTATTAAAAAGACTGACATCAGAGGTTGGTGGAAAGCAGTAGCTGAAACCCATTTTTGGTAGTGTTCATAGCAGGCTCATTTTACCTGGTGACTGCTGAAATTGGTTGAAGACAGATTTTTTTTTTAAAAAGGCATAACTTGAAGAAGTGGGATCCAGCGGTGTTTGCCAAGAAACACATATACATAGGAGTTGACTGATTAAGCTTCTTAGGGGATATCTTAATAGTAAATGCTAAATAAAGTGAGAGTTTCGTTGTTTTAAACTAGAAATTGATTACCAGAAAGATGGTGTGACTGCCAGTGTCCTAAGTCCTGATGCCGGGACCTTCAGCTACTGATGGTTGGTGTAAAGTTTTCCATAGGACACTGTGGACTCTCAAAGCCATCATCTTTGAGCAAACACCTGCAGTATGTTATCTTGGCAACATTTTGCAGGGCAAAGGCTGCCCTGCCTCCTGTTGTTGTTTCCTTGCCCCTCTCCAAACCTGGGGGTGTCTGTTTTGCTTCACAGTACTGTAATTCTGCATTGTATCTCTTTATTCATTTTCATTTGTGTATTTACAATAGATGTTAGACCAAGTACATTAGCATTCTTTGCCAAATAAAGTTCCCATTGAAAATGAGTGTTGTGAGACCTCCCAGGAATTCTTTTTTGAGAGTCAAGCTTTAGAATGCCTTGTGGTCTGTTTTATCATTTCTGTAAAACAAATTTCCTTAAAATGAAGAGTTACCTGAAAATAAGGGTAAGGAGAGACCCCATGAATTCTGAGCTAGCTTGATTTCTTTATAAAGAATCACAGAGATCTTATATCTGTAGGACTGTCATTGCTGATTGGTTTTGTTGTTAGTGTTCTCCGAACAACTAGTTCAGCTGGTTGTTAGATTTACTCTTTGTGCTACTGTAGTATAAGCAGATTTCAGATGATATATTTTTTAAGATTGAGGACTTTGGGAAAGAGGCATTTCTTGCTTGGGAGGAAACTTCCTGAAAAGCTGTCATAGTCTTTATATGCTTGAAACTGTGACTCTTAACTGGTATGCCATGAGATAGGCCAGAAATTCTTGTTTTCCATCTTTGTTGTCCTGAGCATAGGAGTTCAGTTCAGTTGCTCAGTCGTGTCCAAGTCTTTGTGTGACCCCATGGACTGCAGCAGCCAGGCTTCCCTGTCCATCACCAACTCCCAGAGCTTACTCAAACTCATGTCCATCGCATTGGTGATGCCATCCAACCATCTCATCCTCTGTCGCCCGCTTCTCCTTCTGCCTTCAATTTTTCCCAGCATCAGGGTCTTTTCCAATGAGTCGCTTCTTTGCATCAGGTGGCCAAAGCATATGGGTAGGGCAAGATAAATAAAATCTTCCTTTTACCCATGGGGGAAGTGAAGCAAATTAAAATATAATGATCATGGTACTTGTGATATATGTTGCTGTTAGAGTATGATTTAGATCCATACTGTCCAGGGTGGTTGTTCCTCTCCACCTGTGGCTCCCTCAGCTCCCTCACTTAGTCCAAACTGAGATGTACTCAAGTGTGAGATCACACTGGGTATTGAAAACTTTGTATGAAAAAAGATCTTGTTGACACTTAAAAAAATAAATTATGTTTCAATTGCAACCACTTTTTACATGTTGAAATAATGCTTTTGATATATTGGATTAAATAAAGCGTATGATCAAAGTAAATTTAAAATGTATTTTAATGTGATCACCAGATAGTTTTGAATTATATATGTGGTTTCTATTTCTATTGAATTGTACTGATCAAGAATATAAAGTGTTTGCTGGGATTACAACGTAATATTCTCTGATTTGTACAATTTTAAATTTGGAGACAGAGTATTTGAAGTAGAATTATGATACAGCGTATACATTCAGATTACTTTGATATATTTAAATTTACTTGCATTTTGGAAAACTGGCAAGTATTCCTAACAACTGTTTTAAATACCAAGAAGAGTTTTAGCAATTGTTCTCGGGTTATCAGTGACACTTAAAAGTGCAAAACAGAGGCATTATTATGAATCACTGCCAACTGTAGTGTGGCCCCTGCATACTCAGCAGATTGAATAGGCCTCCCAGGCAGCTGTAGAGTGTGCATTGCCGAGGAGGAGGGCTGGTCGGTTTCAGAAAGGGCTTTTGGACAACTCAGGTCTTAACTCCTCTTTCCGGGCAGATGATGCTTGTACGGCACAGGTGGAACTGACCCCAGTGTGGTTTACCTCTGAGTTCAGAATTGACTGACAATGACATAAGTGGGTGGGTTTATGACGCAGTAAATGATAGGAAAAATTTACTAGGTTTGTTGAATAAATAAGGTGAAATGTGGAACAGAGTTATTTATAGTCTTCATTTTACACCATAGAGTTCTTGTTTTACACATGACAATTTCAGTCATTTCAGGAGTTCGACTGCTGAATAAAGATGATGTGATTTTTATCTTTAGTATTTTTTTTAAAAAATCCTTATTTTCTTAGTGATTAAGTGAAGTCGCTCAGTCGTGTCCGACTCTTTGCGACACCATGGACTGTAGCCTACCACGCTCCTCCATCCACAGAATTTTCCAGGCAAGAGTACTGGAGTGGGTTGCCATTTCCTTCTCCAGGGGATCTTCCCAACCCAGGGATCGAACGCAGGTCTCCCGCATTGCAGGCAGACACTTTACTGTTTGAGCCACCAGGGAAACCCTGTTGTCCCTTAATATTGGAGTTGGGGTGAAAAATTTATAGGATTTTGGATTATAGTTCTGTCTTGATTTTGTAGATTTTTCCTGCTTAGCATCAGAAACTTTAGACGTACATTGTTGTAGAAACTTAAATATTTTTGTTTAATTGGCGATAATACTGTAATAAACATTACACTGTGTATTGTACACTGTGAAAAGGAGTGTTTTCATTGGTTATAGATTTCATAGTCAGACAGTGAAGTGGTCAACAGAAACCAACAGACCATAGATTTCCAAAACTGAGAACAGCAAAACATAATTAAAACCATAATGTGAATGTGATTGCGGGGAAGGGTGGTGATGGTAGAAACAGTTTACAATTGTAAGTGATATCTGAAAATGCTGATTACTAGCACATGCCAGTTGATATTAACAGAATGTTGGAAAAATCTGATTTTACAGTATATTTTAGATAGGGTTTTTATATGTTTGGGGCTGACTGTTGGCTTATATCCTTCTTTTTTTCCTTTTAGAATATGGTTTCTAGTTTTAGGGTTTCTGAACTACAAGTGTTACTAGGCTTTGCCGGACGGAATAAAAGTGGACGTAAGCATGACCTCCTGATGAGGGCGTTGCATTTATTGAAGAGTGGCTGCAGCCCTGCGGTTCAGATTAAAATCCGAGAATTGTATAGACGCCGATACCCGCGGACTCTCGAAGGCCTTTCTGATTTATCTGCAATCAAATCACCGGTTTTCAGTTTGGATGGTGGCTCCTCACCTGTAGAACCTGACTTGGCTGTGGCTGGAATCCACGCGTTGCCTTCCACTTCAGTTACACCTCACTCTCCGTCCTCTCCTGTTGGTTCTGTGCTGCTTCAAGATACTAAACCCGCGTTTGAGATGCAGCAGCCGTCTCCCCCAATCCCTCCTGTCCATCCTGATGTGCAGTTAAAAAACTTACCCTTTTACGATGTCCTTGATGTTCTCATCAAGCCCACGAGTTTAGGTAAGTGTTAGAGAAATCCGTTTCTTCTGGACAAGAGAGTAAATAAAGCAAGAGGGCTTCGACTGTTAAGTAATGAATTGCTGTTAATGTTATAAAATCAAGGCATTAAAATGCCAAATGCTTAAATGTACAGGTAAAAAGAAATACGGGCAACCATGACAAATCTGGCATAAAACTTAATTTGTTGATCAAATTTCCTTTTTACAGCTTAGAACTCTAAAAATTGCTTCAGTGTGTATACGAACAGACACAAATCGTATTTATTGCCTGGGATTGTGCCTTTTGATATTTTTGCTGTTTTTACAGAGACTTAGTTTCTGTTCAACATAGCTTTTAAAACTTTTTTTTTCAAGAAATAAATCTTTTTTACTTAAATTTTTCCTAAAGTGACAGAGTTTGCCACATTTTTTAGCTTTTAGTTTAATAACCTGTGACTATGCAGAAAATGTAGTAAATTTTATATTGTTAGACATTGATACATGTGACTCCAACAAATTTTTGCCTCAATCGATGACTTCTGTGCTGTAATGGCATAATTTGCTGCTGGCTAATGAAATTATTTACAGAGGTATTTGAATTTGTTGATAAATTGTTCGGGAAATGACATTTCATAGTTAGGCTGGGAGATCATTTTCCTGTCCATCCTAGGAAAAACACTTTTTTTGTTTCAAGTCATTTGAAAACTCTTAAATATATTAATATGCTTTTTTCATTTTGTATAGGATTATACTTGTACATCTTGGTTGAGCTAGAAGGAAGTTTTGAGGTTAATGGGGTCAGTATGGCCTGATAGTAGTAGGCTCCTTATGTTGTTTTGTTTAGCACAGCTGAACCAGGCAGGTAGAATAATGTATTTTATCTCTTCATTACATTCATTCTGAAATAAGGACTCTGTATTTGTTCATGTTTTATTGTTTGTACAGTCCTGTGAGCAGAATTATTGCATCATAGAGTGAGGACTCCTGATAACATTGTGCTAGGTTAGTTTCCAGTACAACTGTGCCAGTGTGAATTCCACGAAGTGAGAGACTGTCTCTCATTGCAGTTTTTCTTCCAACTTTTATCTTGTTTAGATTTTTCATTTCTAAAATTAATAACAGGAACAAACATCTAAAATGTGTATTACCTATAACTGTGTTTCTTTTATGGTTTTACTTTCATTTTTAACTTCTTTTTTAACCAGGTTCGTTTATGTGGTTAAAATGTTTCCATAATTTATTTCTCCTTTTTTCATGGTTTTTGATTTGTATTAGTGCATATGTAGTATCGTTCACATGTTTCTTAGCAATCACTATAAAATTATTTCTTTGTGTTTGGAGAAGGATTCAGATTAGTAGTGTGTGTAGGTGACCCTGCCTCCAGGGACTCCTCAGGAATATGGCTAAAGGCAGGACTGAGAAGAAGAGGCCGTCTGGGGTCCTGGTTCCAGTGGAAGGTTGAGTGCCTGGAAGGAAGATGGCTGGAGATGGAGAGAAGATACAGCAAGGTGTCTTCTCTGCCCCTGGCATCCGTGGGGCACCAGGCAGCGAACTCTGAAGAGGCTTCATGGAGTGCTTCGCGTTTCGTGCTTTCCTTATGTTCAGAAACAGAAATAGGAATTTGGTTACTTTTCCATGTTCTTCATGGGTTTTTCTTTCATTAACCTCAGTAAGGCTAAAGGAAGATAGTAGGCTTTTTATAAATTTTCTAAAATTTTTGTATCATGTGTGACTTAATAATGCTAATAGTACTGGAGGCATTTTGTGTTGAAGAGTGATTAAGAAGAAAACCTGCCTTTTGCTCATAGTTTACATTAGAATGTAAGAGATACATATAACCTCGGGACTTAGAAAATAATCTTTTGCTCCTGAGTTAAAAAATTGTCAATGTATGTATTTTTCAAGAGTCCTGCTTATCATTGTTTCTGTAAACTTTATAAACTGATTTCTTGTTTTAAAACAAGGCTTAAACATTTCCTTATCCTGCTTTCCCTAAGAAGGAAAAGAAAACAATTTTCTTAATGTATATATTCTTGGATTCATAAAAGTGATCTAAAAAAGGCTAGTATCATACTGTCTAAAGCAATGCAGTGACATTCAGGAATTGCTTTTAAGTTTTAATGATTTGGTTATATCATATTGAAAATACTTGTAAAAATAAAAATTTTGGGTAAATCCGTGTATTTGGAACACTGTTATGGAGAAACCTACTTACATTTGGGAAATGAGAAGTAGAAAGCGTTATGAATTGAAAGAGATCCAAAACCATATTTCAGAGCACATATTCTTGACATCCATATTCTTGATTTAATATATAGTTGATTAAATGATTTATAAGCCATCAACATATTGTTGAGCAGGAATTAATTAACAACATGGGAAAGACTGGAAGAGCCCTCATAGGAAAAAAAAAAACAACCGAGAAGTCAAAAAATGTTACAAAACCTCTTGGGAACATACATTGAAACCAATAGCCTCTTAGTATTGAGGGATTCGCTGTTACAGCAAGGTACATCTGTAGATGCTAAACAAAACTGTCATGACATATACATTTTACTTAAGATACATTTTATTATATAGTTTTGCAATTTGGTATTATTAAAATTAAAATTATTTTAGCATTTAAAATGATAGACTATTGCATCTAGAAAGTGTGAGTGTATACAATAATACTATATGAATTTCCCTATAGCTGAGGTTTTACTGTAACAAATGAATTATCCCCTAATCTGAAAACAAGTTAATAAAATTTCTCCTCTCCCTTAGATAGCTATTCTCATTTGCTTTTGCTTTCACTGGAAGTATTTTTGTCTTTTGGTTTTTTTTCCTATTTTCTATTTCTTCTTTTTTTTTTTTATTCTTTTGATGATGAAATCCTTTCTCGTTAAAAAAATTTGTGTATATTCAGTCTATAAAAGAATACATTAAAGACATTGTTATAAAGAATATCTATGAATGAAAACCTGTGAAACCACTACCCATTTTTTAGGAAAGGAACATTGCCAGTATCTTTGAAACCTTCTTGCCTTTTCCTCTTTGAGTTAAATCACTGTTCTGGATTTTCTGTTTCCTCTTGCTTGTTTTACCATATATGTGTGAGAAAAAGTAATGTTCAGTTAACTTGCTTTTGAAATGTATATGTGGTATACTGTGTATATATTCTTCTGTGACTAGCTCTTTTAGTTCATTCTCTTTTTAAGCATCTACATGTTGATGTGTCAAACTGTTTAATATTATGAAATACCTTCAAAATATTGAGTATTTGATTCCTTAAAGTTTCTTCACTTTTTCAGTTTACCAAAGTAATTTATGCTAGTAATTGATAACTTCAGACATGAAAGCATAACAGAAAGGAAAAGTCCCTCGTAGCCACAGTTATTACACAGCTAGAGTCATTATCAGTAATTAACTGTTTCTCTGGCATATTATGTCATCTTCTTTCTCATTTAAAAAAATTCTCACTTTTCTTTGTTAAAAATGCCCTTTCTTACCACAGAGCCACTGTGCCACTTTTCTGTGGAGGGACAAGGGCATTATTCTACTTGAATCGACAGTGAAAAGCACCTTCTGGAGTTCTGTGCTGTGACAGTCTTAACTGTATCTATTAGAAATAAATGATGCATCTGTAGATGATGGTAGGTCTGTTATCCTGTAGATGTACCACAGCTGAACCAGTGTTCTGTTGATGTACGTTTTCAGTTGTTATTTATTTTCGTGTATAACATGTCTTGGGGCACTATTCTTGCAGTCTTACAGCCATTGCTGTTGTGAGCATTTTTGCATATGTTTCTGAATACTCGCACTGCATATTCACAAAGGGTAAATGCCTTGATGTGAATTTGTTGGGTCAGGGGGTGTGATTATGTACTATTTTGATATTCAGCTTTTGTAGAGAAGTTTGGCAGTTGCTTCAAAAGCATTGTACCAGTTTCTACTTCCAATAAGGTATGAATGTGTTATTTTCCTTATACCTTATTAGCATTGTATTGTTGGTCTTTTAATCTTTGTAATCTGGTAGGTGACAGAGTAATAAAGGTCAGTATCTTTCCATAGTATTAAATTTCTGAATATTAGGAAATACTCATTAAGCCTCTGGGTACAGTTAACAGTTAATGAACTTCCCTGATGGCTCAGTGGTAAAGAATCTGCCTACAATGCAGGAGACGTGGCAGGAGCCGTTGGTTTGATCCCTGGATCTGGACAATACCCCGGCGAAGGGAATGAAAACCCACTCTAGTATTCTTGCTTGGGAAATCCTATGGCAGAGAAGCCTGATAGACTACAGTTCAAGAGGTTGCAAAACAGTTGGACACAACTTGGCAACTAAACAACAACAATAACAGTGATATGCGCATTAATGTAAAGCCATTAAAATATAATCTCATAACAAGGGCGTAATGAAGGTTTATTTGGATATGGTTATGTAGCCTAATTGTAGAGAAGTCAGAAGTATGGCGTGGGCTTTAGGAATTTTACCATTTAATTGGAGAGAATGTTAAGGTGACGGGAAAGTAGCAAGCAGTTTATATGCTTGTATGATGAAACCCTATAATTTGTGAACCTAAAGCTTAAGTATTGTATTGGTCTAATGAATGGGAAAGTTAATCTAGACTGCTTGGGAAAGTTAATCAAGACTTCTTGGAGTAAGAGTGGTGACTTGAGGGAGCTTTGAAGGATGAATGTGCCTGCTCTGAATCGGTGAAGTTTATGGGAGAGTAGACATCAAGAAAAGAGAGATCGGAGTAGTCAAAGGAGTAGAAATAAAAATGGCACAGTTCTGAGACCTGATAGGGAAGAAACTGCTTTGACTAGAGCAGGACTTAGGGAGACATTGCAATTGTAGGTTTGCTAGGAACGACATTGTCATGGAGGTGTCCTTATAAATAAGGCACTGTGAACGTGGTTCATTCAGAGATAAGGTGCTCTTAGCATTTTTCAGCAGGGGAACGATGATGAAGAGGTTTTACGAAGGATGACCAGCTCTGCATTTCTGTTCAGCAGGGAGGCAGGGCTGCCCCTTCACTTGTACAAAGTGATTCTAGGTTTTGGGGAGGACGGTGGTAGTGAAAATAGGAGGCAGTTGATAAGAAAATTTAAAAAGCAAATCAAAACAACAACTTAATGAGGCACTGGTTACAGGGGTGAAGATGGAGGACTAAAGGGAAGGAAAAGAGTGATTTCTGTGATTGAACAATTGGTAACAAGTCTCCTCACTCAATTCTGAATTAAAACCACTGTTTTACAGGAAGCATGAATACTCAGCACTCTGCCCTCCCCAAATGATCTTTGTAGCTGATGTATTTATAGAGTGAAAAGGAATTTAATATTAAATATCACTGATGATAATTAATATGACTTTTTGTAAAGATAAAATTTAGGTGATTCAAATTTGCTCTATTCTGTTTAAATCTCATAAAATTTGAAAAACTTTGGTGTGTGCATAGGAGGATTATTTTAAAATGTTCTCATAAAGCAATCTTTAGTGATAATTGTAACTGATTGATTATTGGAATTTAGATGTGTATTCAGTCAAGTGTTCATTGAAGGCATTCATTGCTTAAATGAGTACTAGAACAAAATTGAATAATGGGTCAGTGTAAAACTATGAAAAGTTCTTTGTGAAGAAAATACATGTCAATTTTTAAAAATGCACTTCTGAAGAATGACTTCATTAGATAATCTTTTTTAACTATATAATCTTCTGTATGCTGAAAATTATTTATGTCTTAATAACTCTCCCAACTTAGAAGTTTCAGAGTTTTAAATTTTCTCTTAAATGAGTGCTCTGTGTATGTAATTGAGTACAAAGTGTTGAAAGCAAAACACAACAAAGAAAGAAACAAAACAAACAAAAACTCCTGAATCTTGACTAGAGTTCTCCTGGGGAAGAGTTTTTTTTTTACTTCCCCAGACTTTTCATTGGAAGATACTGTAGTCAAGGATGAAATGTAATAATTTTGAAGGGTTGTGTTATATTTTGATTAGAATATTACAATAAAGAATGGTAAATGTTTAAAGTTGAACCTGCTTTAGAGTGACCTTACTTTCATGATTCCAAGATGCATGTAACTCAGTACTTTATTTTGGTGTATTTTAACAATAAAAATTTCAAAATTTGGCAGAGTCTTTATCAGAAGTGCCTGGTTATTGTAGATTTTTCTATTATTGAATTTGTTATTGGAATACTACCTTTCTTTTTTTTCCTCCCCAGTTCAAAGCAGTATTCAGCGGTTTCAAGAGAAGTTTTTTATTTTTGCTCTGACACCTCAGCAAGTTAGAGAGATATGCATATCCAGGTAAGAGGAGTTTGGAATGTGTTTTCTGGATGTTGGTGTCTTAGTCTGCTCTGCCTGCTATAGTAGAGTACCACAGATGGGATGGCTTAAACAACAGAAATTTTTCTTCTCACATTTCGGGGGACTTGAAGTCCAAAAGTAATTGACAGGTTTCATTTCTTCTGAGGCCTCTCTCCTTGGCTTGCGTTGCAGGTGGCTGCCTTCTTGCTGTGGCCTTTTCCCATGGCCTTTCCTCTGTGTGCCTGTGTACTCCTGGTGTGTCTTCCTCTTCTTATGAGGACAGTAGTCCTGGTGGGTTAAGGCTCCACCCTTGGAACCTCATTTAACCTTAATGACCTCTTTAAAGCCCCGACTTCACAGTCACTTTGGGAGTTAGGACTTCAGCATATGAATTTTGGGGGGACACAGTTCCGTCCATAACAATTGAGCCATTTCTCTTTAAGTAAGCATAGTATACTTTGACTTAGGTTAGGCAGATATTTAATAAATACTCTGGAACCAGACATCTTGGAGTGTGAAGTCAAGTGGGCCTTCGGAAGCATCACTACTAACAAAGCTAGTGGAGGTGATGAAATTCCAGTGAGCTATTTCAAATCCTAAAAAGTGATGCTGTTAAAGTGCCACACTCAGTATGCCAGCAAATTTGAAAAACTCAGAAGTAGCCACAGAATTGAAAAAAGTCAGTTTTTATTCCAGTCCCAAAGAAGGGCAATGCCAAAGAATGTACTAACTGCTGCACAGTTGCACTCATTTCACATACTCAACATCCTTCAAGTAAGGCTTCAGCAGTATATGAAACCAGAACTTCCAGATGTACAAGCTGGATTTACAAAAAGCAAAGGAACCAAAGATCAAATTGCCAACATCCGTTGGATCATGGAAAAAGCAGGCGAATTCTGGAAAAACATCTGCTTCATTGACTACACTAAAGTTTTTGAATGTGAGATCACAACAAACTGTGGAAAATCATTAAAAGAGATGGGGATACCAGGCCACCTTACCTCCCTCCGGAGAAACCTGTATGCAGCTCAAGAAGCAACAGTTAGAACCAGACATGGGACAACAGATTTGTCCCAAATTGGGAAAGGAATATGACAAGGCTGTATATAGTCACCCTGGTTATTTAACTTATATGCATACATCATGTGAAATTTCAGGCTGGATGAAGCACAAGCTGGAATCAAGATTGCCAGGAGAAATATCAGTAACCTCAGATATGCAGATGACACCACCCTTATGGCAGAAAGTGTAGAGGAATTAAAGAGCCTCTTGATGAAAGACTGGGAAAGATTGAAGGTAGGAGGAGAAGGGGACAACAGAGGATGAGATGGTTGGATGGCATCACCGACTTAGTGAACATGAATTTGAGCAAACTCTGGGAGATGGTGAAGGACAGGGAAGTCTGGTGTGCTGCTGTCCATGGGGTCACAAAGAGTTGGACATGACTGAATGACTGAACAACAATTAGAAAAACATTTTAATTTTTGAATAAAACCCCTTTGAATTACTTTTTGTCACTTCTGGCAGTAATTTTTTTTTTAATGAAAATTTAATTCCAAATATAGCAACATAAAAAAGAATTGTGTTAACAGCCCTAAAGATAGAATGACATAAAGTTCATCACCCAGATGCTTTTTTATAGTAAATGTGGACATTAATAATTTTTCTGGGATAAGAACATAAACTAGAGGACCATTCTGAGGTATGTGGTTACCTGGGCCAAAAAAGTTAGCAGAAATCTGAAAACAATTATGAAAAGTACTCTGAGCTTTGCCATTTCAAAAAATAGGATAAACTTAAACACCTTTATTAAGAGCAATGAACTAAAAACAGGAAAGAAAAGGAAATCTGTACTATATACTTTTCCAATTAAATAGTCATCTTTGGTGTTAATACGTTATTTCTAAGACTTTAAAAAGATTTAAATGATATTCTGGAATTGTAGAGTTAAAATTTGGAACCCAGAATTGAGCAAATTAGAGATCTTTTTGCATCCTTTCAGCTCTTCTTTAGAACACTTATCTTCTGTGAGATGTTAATACAAGTTTTTAAAAAATAAAAGTCCTGCAGTTAAGTTTTGGAAATTCTATATTCAAGGTAGTTTCAAAAGTTCTTCAAGTCAGACTTTTCAGTCTTTCTTATGTTAATGTGCCTTCTCAATCTCCTAAAACGGATCAGAATTTATGGATTTCTCTTAAACACCCTAACATCTTGAAGATGAACACAATGTCAGGTAGAATAGTATGGGATACAACTTTAGATTCTTTCACTGATCACATCACTGCTCTCAACAAAGCCTCAGAATAATTTTATACCTTGACTTGGTAAAATTTGAGCTCCCCAGAAGGGAAAAAGACCAAACATTGAACAGTAAAAGAGAAAAAAGGGGACAGTACTAAGGATTAGTCCAAAAGACCCAATATCCAAATAATAGGGGTTTTGGAAAATGTAGAGAAGGAAATTATCAAAGAAGTAAAATGAATGTATATGTTCACTGGTGGCAAGAGATTGCAGGAAATTTTTATATTGGAAGTACTTTCAAACTTGGGAGTACTAATAAACCAACTGAGAAATGAATGGGGTAAATTAAAAGTTATATTTTATATCCCAAGCCACATCATTATTATTTAGTATTGTTTGTTATTCACTGATGATCCCTTGTTTGAGAACATTTACTAAGGATTCATTAGCTACAAAGCATTATATTATATGGTATGTCTCCTTTCCGCAAGTTGCAATCTAGTTAATGAACTGGCTTATATACATAAAATGATTGTTGGCATTACAGGGTGTCACATGGAAAACACCAATGCAGTAATGACAAATAAGAGCTGATTTATAGATGGAGGAGATAGCCTTTAATGGAGGGAGATTATTTAATCACTAGGTTTCCAGATACATTTTTAAGTGAACAAATCAAAGCATGGAATTTGAATAATATGTACTATTAGTTAGCCTTAAAAAGGGCCTCCCTGGTTGCTCAGCTGGTAAAGAATCCGCCTGCAGTGCAGGAAAATGAAAGTGAAGTCGCTCAGTCATGTCCGACTCTTTGCGATCCCATGGATCCTCCATCCATGGAACTTTCCAGGCCAGAATACTGGAGTGGGCTGCCATTTTCTTCTCCAGGGGATCGTCCCAACCCAGAGATCCAACCAGGGTCTCCAGCATTGCAGGCAGACGATTTTACCGTCCGAGCCCCCAGGGCAGCCCTACCTCAGTTCGGTTCCTGGGTGGGGAAGATCCCCGGAGGAGGAAATGGGAACCCACTCCATATTCTTGCGTGGAGAACCCCATGGACAGAGGAGCCTGGTGGGCTGCAGTCCATGGGGTCGCAAGGAGTCAGACACGACTGAGTGACTGAGCACACACACTGTCTTAAAAAGGCGTGTGTGTAACTTGCTTAAGTCTACAGCATATGTCTGGACAAATGTGGTAAGTTGCCTCTGGAGGGGGGAATCAGGTGGCCGTGGTCCAAGTTGAGGGAATTTTTTCACTTTATATCTTTTTTAGTCTCTTTTTGAAGTTTGAACTGTGTGAATGTTATTAATTAGTCAAAAATGAATGACTAATTAATTTCAATAAAAATTTTTAATCATTGATGTCTCTGGGATGGATGGTAGTGATGGTATAGTATAAATGTACTTAAAGCCACAAAACTATACACTTTAAGATGGTTAACATGATAAATCTTACCTTAGAAATATTTACCCGCAAAAAAATTTTAAAAATACTAACTGTAATAGGCTATTAGTGATCCTCCCAACAAAAAAGACAAAAGACACCCATGTTGTCCCTGCAAGCTCCAACCTTTACAGAGTTGGCTAATCAAATAGTAAAAAAAAATTTCCTGAGAAGTGGGAGTAATAGCTTGGTACTCATTACCTGGCTTTAATAATTATCAACATTTTGGAATCTGTATGTGACCACTCCTCAACTTTTTTTCCTGAAATATTTTAAAACCCATCTCAGACATCATGTAGTTTCACCCAAAAATACTTCAAGATACATCTCTTATTAATTTTTAACATAATCACACTAAAAATGATTCACATTAAACAATGTCTAATCTGTATTCAGATTTTCAGGGTTGTTTTCAGTATTGAAATATGGCCTGTGTATTATTTTGATTTTTATGTCTCACACAATTAAAAAACTTTTTACTTTAAGCTAATTATAGGTTTATAGAAGAGTTGTGAAAGTAGTAGAAAATACTCTTCATCGAGTTCCCTTAATATTAACATGTTTCATAGTTATAAGTGGAAGTTATCAAAACCAAGAAATTAACCTTGGTGCAATACTGTTAACTATAGACCTTATTCAGATTTTATCAGTTTTTCTGCTAATTAATCTCTATTCCCGGGTTCATTCCAGAATCCCAAATCACATAGAATAGATGTATCACTGATGTCTTTCAATCTGTGATGGTTTCTTAGATTTTCCCTCATGTTTCATAACTTTTGATACTTCTGTTGAGTCTGGTCAGAAATTTTGTAGAATATTTCTTGGTTTGGTTTTATCTGGTGTCTTTTCATGATTAGATTCAGGTTATGCATTTTTGGCAAGAGTTACTAATATATGCCCTTCTCAGTGTATTGTAACAGGGGATTCATAATAGTGATGCATACTATATTTGGTCATGTTAATTTTGATCACTTGAGTAAGGTACTGTTCACCAGATTTCTGCACTGTGAAGTTGCTGGGGTTTTTTTTTTTTTCCCTTTAATAAATATCTGGGGGAGATATTTTGAGATTAAGCACATATTCTGTTTATCTTCAACTTTTTGCCACCAATTTAGCATTCACTTATGAATCTTGGGAGAAGGCAGTGGCACCCCACTCCAGTACTCTTGCCTGAAAAATCCCATGGACGGAGGAGCCTGGTAGGCTACAGTCCCTAGGGTCGTGAAGAGTCAGACATGACTGAGCGACTTCACTTTCACTTTTCACTTTCATGCATTGGAGAAGGAAATGGCAACCCACTCCAGTGTTCTTGCCTGGAG